AGATGTGTAGTCTATATTCTCGGTCTCCGAAACACAAGAAGTTACAAGGAACGTGGTGGTAGAAGAGGGAACAAATTCAATTCGCCAACATCGCTGAACCCTGTGCGTATCTCTGTATGTGAGGAAGCTGGAGGACAGCTTTGGTTGTCATTCCTACAATGCTGTCTTCCTTTGCTGGTACAGACAAGTTCCCTCACCGGCGGCTGGGGCTTGTCAAGCAGCTAGGCTGGTAGGGCTAGCAATGCCCAGGGTTCCTTCTATACTCCCCTCCCCAGGGCATGTGCCTCCCAAGCACGCACCACTAAGCCCAGCTTTTTAAAATACGGGTTCTGAGGATCAAACACAAGTCATCAGATTTGCAAGGCAAGCAACTATCCTATTTCTCTAGTCTCCCTGTACTTTGGCCAGGTACTTACCAGCCCCCTCCATCTCGTTCTTGAGTTAATACAAGGAGTGTGCGAGAAGCGTGCCATTCCCTCTACCTCCCACAACCCTGAGACCCCAAGAAAGCAGAACACTCTTCACCATGAGTTTTTGTCACTGTAACTTGTGCAGGGCTTGGCATAAGGTAGACCCTCAGCAAATGTAAGACCTATAGGTGGATGGATGAGTGGAGGTGGATGGACAAGTAAATGGGGATGGATGGATGGACAGACATGTGTAGGTGGGAGGATGGGTATATATGGGTGGGTGAGTGGGTGGATATAAATGGATATAAATGGCTGATGGATGCAGATGAGTGGATAGAGATGGGTAGATGGATGATGTGGGTTGATTGATGGATATGGATGGATGGACAGATGGATGGATGCTCAAACATACTATACAGTTTTACTCTGCTGGATCTATAATCCAGCCTGTCCTATTAGTAACAGCACCCATTCTCTATGCTGAGCCCTTGAGATGTAGCCAAAACAACTGAGGAAATAAATTTTCATTTTACCTGGTTTCTGTGGATTTAAATTTAAGATAAATTCCTGGGGTAGGAAGCCCGGAACTATTCTCCGGTAAGAGAAATACTTAGATTAACAATTATGGGGTAACTACTTAAGTCAGAGCTAGCCAGTAAGAAGCAAGCAAGGCCAACAGCTTCATAATTAATATAGCCTCCTGTGTGTTTATTTGGGACTGATGTGGCTCTAGAACCAGGCTGGTGGGAAGGCTTCTCTCAAAGAAAAAGCTTCTTTTTACAAATTCCTAATTCTATTCTTATGAATTTTAAAGAATTTTTTAAAAGCTTGCAGTCTATTTGCCTTATGTATGTGAGTATGTTTTGTTCAGCTATAAATTTTATGAGAGCTAAATACGTATCAATTATTTCAAATGAGCAGTTAGCAAATACTGGCTGCTTTCTGTTGCTATGACAAAGCACTTGAGAAGGAAGGGAGGCTTGAGCTCACAGTTTCAAAGTTTCCATCCATGGTCAATAGGGCCAGGTGACTTTGGCTGTGGGATAGCATGGAACATCGTGGTGGGAGCATGTGGGGGAGCACCTCGTGGTGACTGGAAAGCAAAGAGAGTTGGGGTCCTGGTGAAGCTTATCGTGGGTTCTCCCTAGAGTAGGCTCCATCTCCGGAAGTTCCCATTACTTCCGTCTTTGCAGCATGAGACACACTGGGGACAAAGCCCTCAATGCACGGGCTCTGCGGAGACAGGACGGATAGAAACCACAGTGACATGCAGGCTGAAATGTGCAGGGACTATGAAAGGTATCCCAGATGCCAGACATTTAATATGGAGAGTAATTTAAAATGCACCAATGGGCCAGCAAGCAGAGGTTCCTGTCTCAAAGGCTCAGAGACCTGACGCAGTGCTTGGGACACACATAAAGGTGTGACGAGACCCAACAGAGTCGCCTTCTGGGTTCCACATATGTGTGCACCCATCACACACAGAAATAACACAGCAATAGTGATCATAAATGAGGGCCAGCGAGAACGCTTAGCAGATAAAATGCTTGTTGTATAAGGTTGACGTCCTGAGTTCAGGGAGAACCAATTCCCAAAGTTGTGCTTTGATCCCATACACACATGCTGTCTCTCAATCTCTCTCTCTCTCTCTCTCTCTCTCTCTCTCTCTCTCTCTCTCTCTCTCTCTCTCTCTCCTCACACACACGAATTAATTGATTTAAAACAGTAAACTTTTAAAGACTTTAAATGTGGCACTAGTATTTGAATGGTTGTATGTGAAACTATTAACACCCTGAATATATTAGATTTAACAAAATATGCCTCTTTTTACATTAAAAATTTTATTGCATTCATTTTTAGGGGAAGGAAGTCCCATTTGCGCCACAGTGCGTGTGTGGAGGTCAGGTGACAACCTGCAGCAATCCTCTCTCCTTCCACCAGATGAGTCCTAGGTAGTGAACTCGGGTACCTGGGACTCACCTGAGGCATCTCGGCGTCCCTCTATTTACATTTTTCGGTGTGACTCTGGAAATGTGAACGTGTGTGTGTGGCTCTCGTTGCATTTCAATTGGATGACACAGATCTGGATCTCAGTGCTGTTGCCCATGCTCTGAATGGTTACTGGGACAGGCTTACCTGTGAGCCCTGCAGGCACTAACTCCACCTCACCCTTCGACTGCCCCTGCCTGCCCCTAGACTCTTGCCCGGGGAGCAAGATTGGGCAACGCCTCTATGACACTCATGAGAACAGAGTCATCATGAATTTGTTTCTGAGGACCAGACAGGTGACCTAACAGGGAAATGGCTAGAGAAAAGCCACAAGCAGCCATCAAGGGTTTCAGTAAAGTCAGGGAACAAGAAGAAAGAACCTCCACATGACCGGGTCACTGTCTGTGGACTCAAAGGCCCTTGATGGATATCTTCCACTAATGCTTTGCTCCAAGGGTGAAAAGACCCCACTCACGTCAGCCCAAAAGCTAGGGCAAATCACTCAGTGTTCTGCCACCCCACTTGTCAGGCAGGAACCACGCAGCCTGCACATGGCCCGGGACATCCAAGCATCCCTTTGCCAGCCCTGAGAACTCATACTGAGAAGCTGGCCTGGGCAACCTGTGACTGATCAGTTGCGGTCATCAGCTTGACTGGATCTGGAATCAACTCAAAAGTGAGCTGTCGGGCACAGCCGTGAGGGGTTGGCTTTGATTTTCTTATTTGAAGTGGGAAAGATCCACCCTGCATGGGGGAGCACCTTCCGGTGACAGCACAGATAAAAAGGAAGACCAAGGGAAAGAGCTTGGCCTTTTGCCTGCTCCCCTTCACTCTGGCTGGCAAGCTTATCCACCCCAGTGCAGCGGCAGCTGCAGCTCTGTACTGGTATCAAAACTCCAATTCCCTGTTGCCCTCCTCAGGCTTCCATTGTGGACAGAAGACTCGTGGCTCTCCAGGAATCCTCTCTTGGCACAAACTGGGACTGCTTAGGAACCCAGCCATACGGAGCAAACAACTACCGGGTTCTCGGTCTCTTTGGTGTGAAGACAGCCATGTTGGACTTTCCAGGTCATAGCTTGCAATCCAGGCTAATACACGACATTTTAAAGTATACACATCCCATCACTTCATTTCCTCTATCGAACCTTAATACACGCCAGAAAGCATTCTCTCCCTTGATGGGAATCAGAACTCCCACAATCCCCCTCTCCTGTAACCCCTGTGGCTTCTGTTTGCTATATAAAATCAATTGTTCCAGAAAGGACTCCAAGGATGCCTTTGATTGGCCTGCTGGGCAGAGAAGACGCTGTGGGAGACTGAGGGGAGGGAAGAGCCTTTTGCTGGCCAATTCTGAACCAAGGTACCAACTGGAACAGATCAGCAGAGGAGTGGAGAGCAGGGAAAAGAAGTGCGGAACGGGACGAGTAAGGCTTAAAGAACTAGGAGGGGGCGTAAGGGCCCAAATCTTAAGACTTGCTTTAAGGAAGGAGCAATAAGCTGCCTGAGTTACCAGTCGCTTTTCATCCCAGAAGTGCAAACTGCACAGTGCTCATCAGTATAGTTTTACCATCCGAGTCACTGAAGACTGGAGAGACAGCTCAGTGTAGTGGTTAGGACCACACGCTGCTCTTGCAGGGGACCAGAGCTCAGTTCCCAGGACCCTGGTCAAGTGGTTCAACCTCCAACTCCAGGGGAGCCAATGGCCTCTTCCGCCCTCCCCCTGCACTCACATAGACACATGTCTACACGGTATATAACTGAAATTGTTAAAATGTATTGAAAATCATACCCATGTCCAAATTCATCAGTCTTAGCAAAACATAGTTATGAAGAAAGGCGTTTTCATATTTTACTAATTAATATGACCTGCGGTTTAAAAGTACCAAAAAAAGTACTTAAATATGGAAGTGAATTGTTAGTGCTTCCCGAGAGATTGCCTACTTTTGAACAAATTAACAAAACTATTGGTAAACAGAAGTATTAATAGCCAGTACTATTGACTGGGTGGGGTGTCCTGTGATAATATATTGTTTGTGATCTAATAAAGCTTGCCTGGAGATCAGAGTGCTAAACTGTCCACAGCCATAAACATCAGGCAGTGGTGGTACCCACCTTTAATCCCAGGACTCAGTCGACAGAGGCAGATGGATCTCTGTGAGTTCAAGACCACCCTGGGCTACATGAGAGTGAATCAGTCTAAAAGAGTTAACAGAGCTCACATCTTTAATCCCAGCACTAAGCAAGCAGTCTCATGTGGAATTAGCCTCTAGCCATGTTGAAGAGAGAATTGCGGTCTAGGCAGTCTGAGGAGCAGTCTGGAGGTGCAGTCTGAGGTTGGGTGGATCACCCCTTCAGTGTCAGCCTTGGTAGAGGTGAGAACTCTCAAGTGGCTGGCTGCTTTGCTTCTCTGATCTTCAACTTGAACCCCTACGTCGGTCTCTGGATTTTATTATTCATGCTACAGTGTCCTTTAATCTCTAGTCTTTACTTCCTGACCCTAAAGGAGATCTTGATGTGGGGGGAAGGGGGAGTATCTCTACTAACCCACTCCCAGAATAGCTGAGGCAACCTTGATACACAGAATTAGTTCAGACACTGGCCTGAGGGAGTGACCAGGATTCGTTTTAATAAGGAAACACACAAAGGTGGGGGTGGGGGCCCACAGCTAGATAGAGAGAAAACAACGTGAAGACCGGATCCGCAGAAAGACGTCTGACCCTGAAAGGGGCACCTGCAGGAAAAGGAGCCTGAGACTTAACACCCTCAGCTGAAGGTGGACCGGCATGGGGCTGGGGAAGAATGCGGGTCCGGAGGCTTCGCAGCTTCCGGTGTGGTGAGAGACAGCGGCAGACAGGAAGACAGGTGTGGGCTGCATGGGAAGAGGTGAACAGGCAGGGCCCGGTGGGCAGGAGGTATGACTAGATCTCGCCTTGGGCCCGCTGCTACCCTCCCCCCCCCACCCATCGGGTGAGCGCGTTGGTTCTCTTCTGTGCACCCACCCTGTTCCCCAAGCCCCACCGAAAGATCTCTCCCAAGAATCCTCTCTGGAGACTTCTCTCTGCTCCAGCCCATCTCAGCGTCCTCCCTTCTCAACTCAAAGCCAAGCACAGCTCCACACCCACCACATCCCTGGAAGGAGGGCAAGTGCATCTCCATCCAGCAGAACACACTCCAGGACAAGTTCAAAGAAGCCGACATGCCCCATGATTCCAGCCCGGTGCTGAGACTCAGTGCTCCATGAATGCTTCTGGACTGGGCAGTCTCCACCTCGATGTGCCTGCAGGGCCACCTGGCCGTCCAGGAGAAAATTAAACAGCATTTTGGAAGCTGGCTGGGCTGTGGTCATCTCTCAGACTCTCGCGCCCCCTGCCGACCAGGACGGAACCTGCACTCAGGGCAAAGTTGGCCGACAGGCTGGAGGGTGGTCCTGATACAGGACCCATGGGAAGGCTGTCTGGCCTCGCTGAGGGATCCCAGATCCTTCCACTCGGGTCTGCGGCATTGACCCTGAGCCCATAGGCATGTCCCGGCCTCCCGCGACACCCTGCGAGGACCCGCGGGGCATGCTTAGAGTTTCTCATCCAGCTCTAAACTGTAGTTCTCCCAGGCACCTCCGTGTATCACGGCAGGGCTGCCCCGGGGGGTTCTGTTCAGGTAGTTCTGGATAGCAGAGGCGCAGTCCAACCGCTCCATGGATGTCATGAGGTAGTGAAGCTCCTGCAGGCTACCGTTCTGTTCCTCGAACAGCTCCAGGATGGCTGCGGCTGGGCTGCGCTGGCAGGATAAGAATCTGTCTCCAAGGGACAGGGGGACAGTGAACGGAAAGCAAGGAAGCTCGGGAGCAGTAAGAGACCACCCTGAACACACCCCTCGGCTCTGCTCCTCTACGCCTCCCTTGGTTCCTCTTACTAAGGTGAAATCTTGCATGAGACAGCCTCTGAGAATGTCCAACCTTTTGACAGTAACTTAATTAATGATTGACATTCGAGGGTCCGCCTCGCTGTGGGTGATACCATCCCTGGGCAGATGGTCCTGGGTGATACAATAAAGCAGGCTTGGGCAAGCCGTGGAGAACAAGGGGTGAACAGCGTCCCTCCGTGGTCTCTGCAGAGCTCCTGCCCTGACTTCCTTCATGACCGTCTGTCATGAATAAGCAAACAAACCCTCTCCTCCCCAGGTGCTTTTGGCCATGGTGTTTTACCACAGCAATAGAAAAACAAACTGAGACAGGCGTCATCTACAAATTCCACACTCGGGGGCTACACAAATTAAAAACCAAAACAGGAAAATCCATGCTTTAAGTGTGCTTATGATTTCATGTCGTATCACATTCATATGATGAACCTCCATTGCTCAGGAACCTTCTAGGGTCCCTGTTACAATCTATAGCTCCTGACAGCCTCCCTCCTCCACCACCCGGTGAAGCCCCTTGCTTCCTCTGACCCTAAGCAAATGCCTGCGTCTCTCTTTTCAATATTCTGCTACACTGAATACACACAAGGGAGCACACGGAAAGCTTGCTGTCATTCTCAAAGACCCTGCCACAGACAATCCGTGCTCCCAGGAGGTGTAAACATAGTTCACTCTGTGTCCCAGCACTTAGTGGCACACAGGCCGGCATCTGACAACTCCCTACATCAGTTCTGCTTCCAAGGTGCGGCTGTGGCTCCTCCCTGACCACTGCCTTCAAGCTTGGGCACAGCATTGTACTTCCAGCGATCCCTTTGTGAGCTCCTTGGCAGGAGCCCCGGCTGCACAGCCACTGTGATTGCTAACACTTGCTATGCTAACATGCGGCAGGCTTCCAGCGACATGTTGTACACACATCATCCTACAATCTGTCTTTCCATGCCTCGGGCCGTGGTGTGGCGAGCGCTTACTAGTATTGGTGACTTGTATCATCCCTTGTGAAACGTTTATTGCACACCTACTATGGGACAGACATCATGTGCCTGATCTTGGATTGAAAGAGTGGGCTTGGAGTCCTAGGGGGGGAGAGAGGTATTCTAAATTCCACTACGGCACCGGTGCCCTTCTCTTCAACTGCAACACAATCACTACTTTATTCACTTACAGAATTCATAGAACGGACACGCAGGAGGTGCCCTTGAAGCTGACATCCACAGAACATACAAAAGGCTTCCTCTCTGTGCCTACCCAAGGAATGAACTGGGAACAATGAGCTTGGCCAGGTTTAGACACACAGATGGGGGGCTCTTACACCACCACCTCCAAACAACACCTGAGACTCTTACAAAAACTGGAACCTTAACGCCTTCCTCCCATTGTCTTCAGTCCTGGACTTGAACAATAATTAACATAAAATCATCTCTGGTACAGAGAACTGAGACAGTGGGGACAAGTCACCTCCCCAGTCATTGAGAAACAGACTGTCCTATAACCAGGTCTACTTGTCTTCTGGCCTTTGTCTCATGGCTAAATTATAAGGCAGTTGTGAGGAATTGAAACCTTCTCTCCCCAGTTTGGCTAAACTGGAAGTAAAACTATTTTTATCAATTTCTGTTTCCCAATTTCTTTGGAAGCACGGGGAAGCAGGTGGCTGGGTTATGGACCTGAGTGTCTGGTAATGGCTAGTCTGGAGATTAAGGATGTAGAATTGACAGAAAGAGCTGTCCCTCTAAAGGGACTCAGGTGGGAAGCAGACATTCACTGACTTTGAAGGCACCTCCTTGTCCGTGGTCCAGTTCCCAGGATGTCTTGAAGCCCCCCAGTCTAGCCCACCTCTGACTTCCCCTGTAGCCCTACTGTTGCTCACCGGATTTTCATGCCACAGAGGCCCAGGTGGGAGGCCAGTCTTCTCCAGTCATTCCCACTGACACTGTTGGGCTCCAACAGCATCTGCAGCTGCTCAAAGAGCTCCGGGGGCAGCCTGAGGCAGGAAACAGGGTGTTTAGAAAGGAAGACTCAGAGACAAAAGGCTGGGCAGACAGCTCAATGTGTTGCCACACAATCATGAGGCCTTAAGTTCAGTAGCCAGCACCCACATAAAAAGTCAGTGTAGTAGCATACGCTTGTGACCCTAGCATGGGAGAGAGGGAGGCAGGCAGATTCCTGGGGCTTTCTGGGCACCTAGAGCTCCAAGTCCCAATGAGAGACTTTATCTCAAAAATAAGATGATGGCTTCTGAAGAACAATACCCAAGGCTGGCCCTGGCCTCCATGCACATGCAAGCATGTGCTTGCACACACCTACATGCATGAACACACACACTCATGCATGCACACACATTAAAAGGGACTCAGTCATCCTCCATTCTCTTTACCTGCTGGGGTACTGAGGAAGGATTGCCAAACACCCCCAGACAGCAGCCAAGCCACCGTCACCTCACCTGTTGCACGGGGGTGGCTGAGAGACAAGAGGGGGCACTGCCCAGGACTCCTCCTCCGATGCCTGGAATCTGAGGATCTCCATGTACTTGTTTTCCAAGCCCTGAATCACCAACAGGGACAGGGAACACATTCAGGGGTATGAGAAACTCTTAATATATTCCTCATGACTGTCCTTTAACCTGTCACAGCCCTGTCGCCAGAAGTTACAGCCCCCCCTCCACCCAGCACCCTGAACTCCCTGTCTCCAGACTAAGAACCCCACAGTTAAACTTGCCCCTGACAACAATAAAAAAAATCACACAGGACTAACAGAGAAACTGACCTCCAACTGTCCTCCCCAAATGACAATGTGTGGTGTCTGCCACCATCCTGCAAGATGCTACTTTGGTTTTCCAAGGACTCTCAAACTTGACATGTTTGTTTCTTCCCTGTGTCTATGGAAGGGAAGGAGGGAGGGAGGAAAGGAGGGAGAAGGGGGAAGGGAGGGAGGGAGGGAGGGGGAAGATACCTAACCCCCTTTCCACCTGCTTAAGTCCCCCTTCCTAGTCATCCCCATTGCAGACAGATGGGGACAGTCACCATGGAGGAGGCCTGGTCTTCCAGATGCCCTAGCTATCCTGAACTTGGAGAAAGAATCTTTTAACCTCCTGGTGGTCCATCCACCCATCCATCCATCCATCCATCCATAAAAAGGGTTCAGGGACAGAGGGTGACTTGGGGCCAGATGGTCTAAGTCCCTTAAAATCTGGCATGGTAGTTCTATGACAAATGCCCGCTTTAGCTACTTTGTTTTGTAATTAGGTCCCTAATCACTGTGTACTGGACCCATTTCCCTTGCCCCAACCTTCCACAGGTCCTGCCCTCCTTCTCTGCTTCTGTACAACTTACATCCTGGAAGGTGTGCATGGTGACAATGATCTCATTGGTTAATGCTGAGCAGTCTTCATTCTCATTGGCTACGAAGAGAAGCAAGAAAAAGTCCATGGATAGGAGCAGAGGGTGGGGCCGTAGAGTAGGGTTGCTGGGAGAGAAGAGCAGGCAGTGAACAGGGCCCCTGGCTTACCTGCCTTTCTCCGGAAGCAGAAAGAACGGAAGGGGCATTTTCCATGCCAGATATGAAGATGGGGAACCAGCTGGCTGCTGCTCTCATCCACGTTTTCCCAGCCTGGGGAGAGGACGAAGCAGAAGGCCTTAGAGCACAAGGCCTTCCCCAAGTATTTAAGGGAGTTGTGGAGAAATTCAACAGCTTGAGTGGGCACCTCAAACTGGCCTTGATTGTATGCCCGTTTCTACACGCACACACACACACACACACACACACACACACACACACACACACACACAGCCTCCCTTCCTCTATCCCACCTCTTAAAGTAGCTGTATACCCCAGAAATCTCCCTGCCCACAACCACACAGAGGATCCCCAGAAACACCGCAGCCGTAGCCTTAAGAAGGGCCCAGGCAGTGGGGCGGTGGTGGTGCACGCCTTTAATCCCAGCACTCGGGAGGCAGAGGCAGGCGGATCTCTGTGAGTTCGAGGCCGGGCTGGACCGACAGTCTCCAAAACAATACAGAGAAACCCTGTCTCATAAAACCAAAAAAAAAAAAAAAAAAGAAGGGCCCAGGCAGGCAAGCAAATTCAGAACACAATTCCCAGCTGAGATAGATTCCTCTCGCCTCCAGCCTCCCACCTCGCACCCTTGCGTTCCAGGATGGCTAGCGAGGGCTGAGTGGGAGACAGAGGAACGGGGACAGAGCCAGAAGGCTGCTGGGAACCCGAGCGCAGGAAATACACTTGGGGTTCCTGGGTTTCCTGGAAGGCTAGAGGGGAGACCCGAACCCTCCCTTCCTTCCCACCCCCCACCGCACTCCCCCCCCCCCGGTGCCCACCTCACCCTCGGAGATGTACTTGAGCTGCAGGCACTGGTCAGCTCTGGCCCCGGTGAAGTCGAAGAGCTGGCAGGGCCCACGCATGCGTCCACCATGGGGCTGCTCATTGGCGATAGCCCACTGCAGGGCGCAGGGGGTATTGTTGAGGAAGTAGACGCGCAGCTGCAGGTGGGTCTGCCCGGGTGCCAGTGGGGAGCAGAACACTGCCAGCTGCAGCCACTTGCGAGCCGTCTGGCCCAGGGGCGCCTCCAGGATGCAGGTGTAGAGGCTGTGGAGGGAGATGGCGGCGGCGGCAGACACCCACGCGTAAGCACCAGGAAGGCCAGGATCCCAAGGTGTCTACCACCGTGCTCCTGCCTCCTAAAGGATTCCAAGTGGGTGAGGAGAGCACTCCAAATAGGCATAGGAGGAGGACCAGGGGAGAGACGAGGGCCTTAAAGGGTCAAGAAGTGAATGGGCCATGATGACTGTGATGCTAATACAGTCAGCTTGACGGGATCTGGAATCTCCATGGAGATAAATCTCTGGGCGGGTCACTGAGGGAGTTTCTCTCTTGAGTTATTGAGGTAGGAAGACCCACCCTGGCAGACAGGATGGGGTTCCTGGGCAACAACAGCCATCTCTTTCTCTAATGCTTGACTGAAGAGGCAAATCGACCAGACCAGACGCCTCAAGCCTCTGACTCCATGACTAACCGTCCCCATGACATGTGAGCCCAAATAAGCCCTTCCTTCCTTAGGCTGCCTCTGCTGGGTGTTCGTCACAGCAGTGAGGTGACTAATGTGCTGACTACCGCCTACTGGGGAGGCAAGCCAGTGTGTGTTATCTGGCAGCGGAGACAAAGGAATCACGGGGTCCCCACAATTTGAAGGGGGTCCTGTACATGGTCCTCCTGGGGGCTAATGAGTGACCAGGAAACTGGGGAACAGAGGACTAAGACCCTAAGAGATGGAGCCTGAAGGGGACAATGTGCCCTTGCTTAAGAGTTCCGGGCAGTCCCGAAGTGCGGCGCAGGATAGAGAGGGCCAGCTATAAAGACAGATGTGGAGATGGGACAAACTCCAACCTTTTGACACTGAGGCACAATGGTGCTATTTCCAGTCACACTCAAGAACCATGCAAGATTAAATTTCAAAACAAAAAAGAATCTCAGTGTTTTAAGCAAGTCTACGATTCTGTGCTGGGCCTTGCTCACACTCTTTGGGCCATGTGGGGCCTGTGGACTGTGGGTCAGCCGTGCCTGCTAGACAGAGGGATGAGTTGACCTCCAGAGAGGCAGAGAGAGGGCAGCCACTGTCCCTGATGGGGTTTCAACGGCAGAAACAGCTGCCGTGGACATTACAGCAGCAGGCTCAGAGAGGGACACAGGGTCCTAACATCCTAGAAGAGTAAAGAGGCTCTCACACAAAGATAAGAAGGAGGCTGACAGAAAGGGAGGGCACTGCCAGGGGAGGGCACTGCCAGAGACGTGCGCGGAGCAGGGGGACAGGCTCACCTGAAGTGAGAGAGCAGGATGCGGCACTCGTCCCGGGAGATAGACGCCCCCGGCCGACCCAGAGGTCTCCACTTCTTGGCCTCCAGCAAGGACGTATTGCTGTTGTAGGCACAGGCCTGACCGGGCTGCTGGGCGCAGTGCTTGAATGTGAGTGTGCAAGGTTTCAGGAAAGAGGCCCCGTGAGGGTCACACGCCACCACAGGACTCACTAGCCCCTGTCTGTGAGACAATGGCGGGGCATCTGTCAGGTCCCACACCAGAACCAAGGACACCCTCTCCTGGCGGCCCACCGCCACAGCACCTGGAAGAACAAAGGGCTAGGATGAGTCTAGCAAGTGGGAGTGTTCTGTCCCTTAAAGGGGGCCGGGCAGGGCGCCTGAGCCCAAAGCCCAGCACTGAGGGTGCCCAGCAGAACACCAAGAGGCTGTACGGAATGGAGACGTCCACCGTGAGCAGTGACCCATGCCCTTCCAGGGACACAGCCACTTGTATGGGGACTTGTGTGACTTCACACGCCAGCCTTTCTTCCTTTGTTTGAAGACTTGTCATAGCAGGCTGTCTTTAGAGCAAGGCAATTTACTTCTGCCTACAGGGAAGCTATCCCAAAAGACGTGTGGAGATTCATCTTTGGAACCAAAAAAAAAAAAAAAAAAAAAGCTAAAACACGAATATAGTTTTCCAAAGTTATCTGTGGGCAGAGCTCAGGCCAGGGACCCTACCTTGCTGCCTGAGGAACTCTGTCAAGGAGGATGCTGGGAGTGGTTACCTGGCGGAATGAACAGGGAAATGCCCATGTCATGCAACATCAGGCACCCGCCACGGTGATCCACCTCTCTAGCAGAATACACCAGTAGCTTATGCCTCAGCTGGCGGGTGATGGTCTGGCCCCGGGTGGGCGTGTAGAGTTCCTGGTAGAACGCAGCCACCTCCGGTAGTGTCTGGAGTGGGCCCTGCCTTGGGGGCTCATATTCTGGTAATGAAGTGGGTGGCGACACTGTTTCCTCTTGGTCACCTGGCCTCCTGCAGGCCCCTGGCAGCCACCGAGAGCAGCGCCATAGCAGGCATTGAACCAGAAGGAAAGCGCTGGCCACGGGGATCCCCACCAACAGGAGAAGTTGGGAAGGGTAGACAGAACTCTCCTGGGGGCTCATCCGCCTGGTCGCTCCTGCACCCCTGCACCAGTCAAGGCTGAGGGCCTGAGGGGAGAGTGGGTGAAGTCAGTAGGGCTGGGCTGTCTTTCATTTGTGGAAGCCAAAGCTTCACTCCCCTACAGGGATGCACAACCCCTCTCACTTCTCCCCTTCCCCCATACACATACACACACACTCACTCACACACACTCACACTCACACATACACACACACACACACACACACACACACTCAAGAACCTTCCTGAGCTAGGCATGATGGTACTCATCTATTATTCCAACCCTTGTGAGGCAGGAAGATTTGAAGTTCAAGGCCAACCTGGACTACAAACTGAGACACTGTCTTGAAAATAAAGAGCTTCCCACAATTCTTCAAAACCTAGTTACAGCAAAGCCCTGGGCATAAGAACTTATATTCCAAGTTAGAGGACATGAGTTTAAAGCCATGTTGGTCACTGTACCTGTTATGATTGTCACATTGCTTAAGATACCTCATTTGTCCAGATGTCTACTTTTGAGTAAGTAGAGGTACGTACCTATAATCCTAGCAAATCAGACAGCTGAGGTAGGGGACCCTGAATTGGAAGCCAGCTTGGGTGACATAGCATCTCAGAAACAAAATCTATCTTTATCTATGAGCACTCATTAAAAAAAATCTGTAAGGGAAAAAGCAGCCTTCAATCTAATGGGTATAAAATACACGTATATGTTAAGGGTAGAGCCCTTTGTATACACAAGGCCCAGAGTTTGAGCCAGAGTAACATGTGAAGAAAGCACACTGTGTGTGTGTGAGAGAGAGAGAGAGAGAGAGAGAGAGAGAGAGAGAGAGAGAGAGAGAGAGAGAAAGCAAATTACAGAGTCTTCAATAGTGGCATCCCACAAAACACAAGCCAATGATGTAATCTGACATATTGTATTGGTCACATTATAACGTAATAGTAGGGGCTGAAGAGATAGATGACTCAATGGTTAAAAGCAGCTACTACTCTTGCAGAGATCTGAGATTCAGACCACAGCAACTGCCTGTAACTCCTACTCCATGGGATCCAGCGCCATCTTCTGGCCTCTGTGGGAACCCACACACAGGTATACACTCACACAGATGTACACATACATACACATAAGGAATACCAAAATAAATATTTTAAAGTAATAATATTTGTATTTAATCCGACACATTCAAAATACTATTTTGACAGAAGATGGGTTCTATTGATCACCACCAAAAATTGTGACAACTGGAGAATACAGGAATGCATTGTGGCAGTCTTACAGCAAGTCATGTCCTTTGCATGAGCTTCATAACTGATTGTGTGCCTGTCTGTGAATGTGGGTGTGCATACATGTGGAAATCAGATGTCAGCCTTGGATATCATTCTTCAGGAGCCATCTACCTTGTTTTTTTATTTTATTATTTTAATTACATATGGGTATGTGTGTGCACTTGTGCATGTATGCACATGGATATACAAGTGTGTGTGTGTGTGTGTGCATAGCTATGTGTGCATGAGTGCAATGCCCACAGAAGCCAGAGGCATCAGATTCCTCTGCAGTTAGACTTAAAGGCAGTTGCGAGCTGCCTGACATGGGTGTTGGAAACCAAACTCCCATCTTCTGGAAGAGTAGCGAGTACTCATAAGCACTGAGCCACCTCTCCAGCCCCCACCTTGCTTTTTATTTGTTTGGTTGGTTGGTTGGGACTGTTTTGTTTTGCTTTGTCTTATTTCTTTCTTTGTTTTTTGAGGCAGGGTCTCTCACTAGGACTTGGAACTCACCCAAGAGGCTTGGATGGATGGCCAATGAGACCCAGGGATCCACCCATCTTTACCTCCTCAGTGCAAAGATTATTAATGCAAGTCACTATGGGTACCAGGGGTCCAACTCAGTTCTCATGCTTGCACGGGAAGCATGCTATCACCCAAGTCACCTCCCCGGTCCTTGAAGGTCGAGGGGGGGTTGTTGAGTGCATGGCTTTGCACTTTCTCAATGAGGATGGCATGAGGGGTCAGTGAAAAGCACCTGTAGGTGACAAAGCACTATCCAAATGTGTGTTTGTTTATGCCGCTCCTTCTGCCATGAAGGTCCGAAGGTAGCTCCCGGGCATTCGTACAGTGCAGCATGAACAGGAAAAGTTAAAAGTGGAAGCAAAAAAACAAAGAGATAAAAAGAGGGAGAAGAAGAAGAAAGCGGGGCCTCCAAAGAGCCTGAAATGAGGCAGGCCAAAAGCACATGCTCCCCGAGGGCTCGCCTGGCTACCTGGCAGAGGTGCCACGGGAAATTTAGAACTTTCTAGCAACCTCCAGTATACCTGCCAGCTTTCCCTGAATCTGCTTCCACCCCCTTCTACTTCCTTGTGAGCCCTGATAATTCCTAACACCCACACAGTCTGGAGGGGCTGGGCTCCCCATTCCCTATGCATTCTGGCTCCTGGCTTGGGCTCCTTGCTGTCCTGGGGATGCCCCAGCCCTTTCCCGGCTTACAACCTCCCCACTGTCAATCCAGCCTGCAAAGCTCTTTCTTTCTTAGGCACTGTCCCACCTGCTTTCTCTCGAAAATGAGCGACTCCTGACCACCAGCTGCGCATCAGCATTCATGGGAGACTCCAAAGGTGCCAGAGATGCCTTGCTCAGCCCTGGGGGAGCTGCTGGGGGCGAGAGGATGCAGTTCCTCCACAGGTCAGCCGGAATCCCTGAGCCGAGCTGCCCTCCTTCCAAGGAGACCCCTATAACCCATGCAGTTCTATACTAACTGGAAAGGCTCCCAACACACACACACACACACACACACACACACACACACACACACACTCACCCCGCCATCACCTGCAGCTAAGCTTCAACACTTCTTTCCCCCTGAATTCCTAATGTCACTCCCTTTCCAGACAGGCTCCGCTGCATCATCGCCACTGAGGCTCGGGCAGGGACCTGTTTCCCTTGCATCCTCCCTGAAGATAAGCATGGCGCATTGTTCACCTTATCTTGAAACAACCTGGAGGTCAGAGCCTCCACCCTCTTTAGCCAGGCCATCCGCAAGGCCACGGGTGAATCAGGCAGGGTCGGAAGCTGAGATGGGTAAGGAGGCAAGCTACCCCTAGAGCTCTTCACTCCCTTGCTCTCACTGGTAATAATAGGGCAACTATTCAAACTGTAATAGTACCGGCTTGACTTGTGTTGTACTCACATGAGTCTTCGTTTCACGGGTGAGGTCTCTGCTGCTGCAGGGATGGAGGGAGGAGAACTAGGTAGCAACTGAAGATGTCTGAGTGGTGAGTTCAGCGCACCCCCACCTCCGGCTGACCTCACTCCTCCTTTGCTCCTAGGTCTCTTTGGTCCCCCTTCTAAAGAGAGGGGTGTTGGGTGGAGAAGGAGAAAATGCAAAGAAAGATGGCTCTGCTGGTGACGACAGCACTTGGGAGGCTGGGCAGGAAGGTCAGGAGTTTGAGGACCTATAATGAGACACTGTCTGAATGGGAAGGAGGGAGGGGGAGGGAGGGAGGGGAGGGAGGGAGGGAGAGGGAGGGAGGAGGGAAGGAGAGGGGAGGGAGGAGGGAGAGAGGGAAGGAGGCAGGGGAGGGAGGGAGAGAGAAAGAAAGGGGCTCAGTGGTTAAGGGCACTGGCTTTCAGGAGTCCTGAGTTTGGTCCCCAGCACCCACATGGGGTTCACAACCATCTGTAACTCCAGGCCCAAATGATCTGACACCCGCTCCTGGCCTCTGTGGGCACTACATGATCATGGTGTACATCCACACGTGCAGGCAAAACACTGTACACATAAAATAAAAATAAGTAAATAGAATCAAGAAAAGAAAAACAGGAGGAGGGGGAGGAGGGGGGAGGAGGGGGGAAGGTGGCTGGGAGGGGGAGTAGGACAGGGGGAACTAGAGGAAGCTAAAACAGAGTAAAGGCATCTCTGGGCCCCATGGCAAGTCATAACATTTGTGCCCTGCCCACCAAGGTTTCAGTGGCAGGAATGGCTGATAAAAGAGAACTAAATGAGAGGAACAACTCTGTTTCTATAACAACAGCCTCCTTGGGGCCTCTCAAGAACAGAGTCCAAATCCCCTCCACCTCATTGGGCCAGGTCCGCTTGCCCAGCTGCCCTGCCTGGAAAGTTGTACACAGCTCTCTACAGCACCCTGGGCCTCAAGGGTGATCTCCCTGGCCTGCAGCAGCTCAGATCCCCAGCTCAAGCCTGGGGCGAGCTGACCATTCTTCAGACTCCCTTAGCCTTCGCCCCATCCCCCCTCTGCCCCCAAGAAGGGAAAGGAGCCAAAGTGTAGGGGAATAGACTATACAGCACTCCAAATTCACCATGTTCTCCAACTCCTGACTCCTCAGAAGTCACTTCTTCCAACTTGTCTGTCTCGAGTCCAGGGCATTCTGGGTAGCATTTCTCTAAAACCAGGGTCATGAGAATACTGTCATCTCCATCCTAAGAATAAAGATCCTGAATCCTACTGCAAAAATCTGTTCGTGTCCTGTGGACACTCAGCCCTCCCCACCTGACTGCTTCTTACTATGTCACCTGATTGATAGAGTTCAGAGTGACCACTGGCCTGATAGAGTTCAGAGTGACCACTGGCCTGATAGAGTTCAGAGTGACCACTGGCCTGATAGAGTTCAGAGTGACCACTAGCCTGATAGCGTTCAAAGTGACCACTGGCCTGATAGAGTTCAGAGTGACCACTGGCCTGGACTGGGCGTGGTGGCAGAAACCAGTCATCCCAGCTACTAAAGGAGGAGGATCACAGAGTCAAAGTCGGCCTGAGCATACGACAGTTCAAGGCTGTCCTGGGCAATACAAAAAGAGTCCATCTTTAAAAGTAAGGACCGGCATTGGTGGCGCACACCTTTAATCTCAACACTTAGGAGGCAGAGGCAGGCGGATCTCTGTGAGTTTGAGGCCAGCCTGGTAGTGAGCTCCAGGACAGCCCTGGCTTCGTAGTGAGACTCCACCTCCAACAAAAAAACAAAAATAAAAAGTAAAAGAGAACTGGAGATGTTCCTTAGTGATGGAACACTTGTCTGCATGCCCAGGCTTCTGGATACAAGTCATAGCACCAGGAAAACAACAAAAACCACCAGGCCGAATGGACGAGGCCACACGCTGTTCATGGCCAGCATTCATGAGCACACTGTACATTTCCACCAGACAAAGACTCATGCCCCTGCACCTGACACCAGCCAGCACTGGTCCCCTCTTCCCTCCCACCTGCAGAGGGTCCTCACAACCTGGCCGACTAGCTAAGGTGATCCGGCTCTTTCCTGGGCCCTTAGTCAAGCCTGTCCCTTACAGTTGCCCTCGGGCTGCTCACCTTAATGTAGGCTTGTTCCCAGAGGCTGCTAGCGAGTCCAGGAGCAATAGTTCCTTCCCTAAGAAACCGAGAGGCCAGCCAGACCTGTCTCCAGGCCAGCAGACAAGTGGACTTGGGCGGGGAATCGGGGCAGGTGTGGCCTGCCACTTCCCGGCAGCATCCTGCCTCCTGTCACGCTAAGGAGGGGTGGAGGAAGGTGTCTTGTCTGTTGGCAAAGTCCAGGTGAGGCATGGGAGACAGTTCACTTCCCAGGCCGGTCTGGAAGGGCGGGGGGGGTAGCTTTGGTGCAGGTCTAGAAGACCCCCTCCCCACAGTGCCCTCTGCTGGGGAGCGGCGGCCCCTACCAAAGGCGGCCGGCGTGACAGAAGAGGAGGGAACCTGCGCCAGAGGTATCAGACGACTGAGGCGCACAGGACTCTCCTGGGAATCTGGGAATCTGGTTCAAACACTGTTTCCACGGGGTCTGGACAGGAGACCGCAGCTCAAAGATCCTTCCGGGTGAGCCAGTGTAGCCGGTGCACGCACCAAGAGTTTCTTTTTAGTCCTTCCTGCACGGGGAGCCCCACAGGTACAGTGTGAGGGACTCGCTTGTCTGCTCCCCGCCCTCTCAGAGTTGGCTGGGACACTGCCCTAGGGGCGAGCTGGATCTGAGTCCTGGAGAGCATAGCCCTGGAGGCGAGCCTCTGGGATGAAAACCCTCTAGGGGTGGGGAGTTGGCCGCCCGATTGCGACTGCCTGCCTCTTCAGCACCAGCCAGCCGTCTTTCCATGGGCTCTCACTCCACTGCACACCTTGGCTTTTGTGAACAGCGCTGCAATAAACATGGGAAACCCGGAAGAGGAAGAGCCAGGGGCAGGGGATGGGAGATGCTGGCCAGTGGGTTGCCGTTTGATAGAATAAGCTCTGGTGCTCTGTGAGACTGCAGAACAGCGGTGTGTCCACAGCTAACAGTGGGCCAAGCATCTTGAAATAGTTAGAAAACAGGATTTTGAGTGTTCTCACAACTTCAGTGATAAAAGTTTGAGGAAATTAACATGCTAATTACTTTGATTTGATCATTACAAAATGGATCCATCTTGCATTATACCCAATAAATATGTAGTTACTATGAATCAATCAAAAATAAAATACCATTTTTAATATTTTTCATTTTTATTTAGTGTGTTTTATGGTTTTATGTTTATTTTTGTTTTATGTTTTATTTGTGTGTGTGTGTATGTGCATGTGTGCGTGCACACACCTAGCCTGTATATGGGAGCTTTCAGAGACCCCCTGAAGCTGGAGTTATAAGCAGCTATGAGTCACTTGATGTGGGTGCTGGGATCTGAGTTCTGGTCCTCTGCAAGAGCCACAAGTTCTACTAACCACTGAATGGCCTCTTCAGCTCCTTAATACAAGTTCAAAAGAAAAGAAGAAAATGTGGGCTAGGAAAATGGCTCAGTCACTACAGTGTTTGTGTTGCATGCCCAGGGACCCGAGTTCAATGGCCAAATCCACATAAAAGACACCCATCACTCTAGAGCTGGGGAGGTGGGGACAGATGGAACCCAGACCGCCAAGGCAGCCAGCAGACTTGGCCAGCTCCAGGCCAGGGAGAGAGCCTGCCTCAAAAGACTACATAAATAAAAATCGTGCACTCCAGCTGAGAGAGCTGGCACTCAAGGCTGTCCTCTGCCCTCCGTGTGCACATACCATATCCACATACACACACGTGTACCTGCACACATGTGCATATACGCACACACAAAAGAACACACAGAAATGGTGTCCTCTTCTTTCTTCTTTCAGTTAATTATTCTCTGGTCTCACATCTCCCTCCCCTCCGTTTCCAACCCTGGGTGGAGATGCCAGGGATGGTGAGACAAACACACCCCAGGGAGTCCCACTGGGTGTCCCCAGGGACCCACGGAGAGCAGCCGGCCTGCAAAGGGAACCCAGTGCCTCAAGGACAGGCAAGGAAGGGTACAGAACTCTCATAGGGGACAAACAGGGAGGCAGCTGCCTTTGTTACACAAAGCTGTCTGAGTCACACAGAAGACTAGGCCAGCTGACAGGGACTCTCTCCCCTGTCCCTGTCAGGCTGGCTGGGAGGACCAGGCCACCCCTACCCAGATGCCCCACCCACCTCCTGGCCTGCTGCTTTCATCTCTGAGACACAAAGTGCCAGGGGGTTGGGAAAGACTTGCCAAACTCCAGCCAGGCAGAAACAGGCCAGCCATGAGGCTGAAGTTGGGGACTGTGTTCATGGATGGTGAACTCATCTCTAAAGCTGGTGCTTGCCTCAAATGGAGACAATCTTGTTCCAGAAGAGCTCTAGGGAAACCTGGGGGCCCCTGTCATCCCCAAGGACACAGAGCTGGGTCACCGGTACTGAGACCATGGGTACCAGTAGAGTTGTAGCTCCAGGCTGGGCTATTACACTGTCAGACTCTGAACTAGTCCATCAAAGGGGCCTCCTCCAAAGACCCACGTATCAAGGAGGGGAAGAGGAGCAATAGAGTGCTTGATAGCAGACATGAAGCCCTGATTCATTTAATCCCTGATCTCTCTCTCTCTCTCTCTCTCTCACACACACACACACACACACACACACACACACACACACGCAGTGCTAACAGACTAACAGACGGAAATGTGGGTGTGTGGACAGGAGCCCTCATGTAAACAGCAACACAGAAGTCCCCAGCAATGTGACCTCCCCTTTCATCTGGGAGAGGCAGACCAGCAGGAGCCCAGCTCCGCCCCTCTCCAGTCCCTCACCCTCTTCTGCCTGGCACAGGTCATTTGGCATCAGGCATCAGGCCTTGGAGATGTGTGTCTGAGGTAAGTGAGGAGGACTGGGAACAGAAGAGAGGATGGGCATGGTCGATGAGCGAGACTTCCAGCACCAGATTCAAAACTAGGGAACACGGAGTCAGGGAGATGGGAAGACCATGAGAAGCAGGGAGAACCAAACAGAAAAATACAGAGCGGCGTGAAGCTCAGCCCCATCCCAGGAGCCCAACTAGTGCCTGACCCACCCACTGATCTTAAGACACTGGCTGAAACAGAAAAACAAGTGGGAAGACTGATCTGACCGGGACCTTAGCTGGAGGAGGGCCTAAACCTTGGCCCACCTGAAAACGGCATACAAAGAAAGCAAATGAGAGTGACACTTTTTTTCCGTCAAACACCAGGCTGCTGTGTCCTTGAGAGTCAAACCACAAGGAATCTGGACATCTGTGCTTGCAGACCAGACCTTTGGGGATGGGGAGACACAGAACACATCTCTGACGCTCAGGAGCAGGTGAGAATTAAATGCTTCCTAGAGAGGGACCCAACGGCGTCGGTTGGCGGTGCCTGAGGCTGGGCAGACCAGCCTGGGTGGATCTGTTGAATGTGCCAATCTGGTCTAATGAGATAAGACTGGGGCAGATGCATGGGGCAGCTGGGCGTTATAAGTGGCCCAGCAATCCTTGGCTCCTCCGCTCAGAACGTGGTTGCCATGTGTCTTTCCCTGGGAAGGTGCAGCAAACATCTATTCACCTCAGAAAATGCACTGACAGAAAATCCAAGAAATGGTCCCAGCTGAGTCCAGCCTTGTGATCCAAGGAGCAAGCCTCTTAAACTTCCCTGCTCCCTCCAGGATGCCACTGTCAGGGTCTGGGAGGCACAGTCCCTGAGGCACAGGCTTGCTATCTGCCTGGCCAGGTGCTGCCTGTGGCGGGAGATAAAGATCAAGCCTTGTCCTGCCGTCCAGGAGTCAGATGGCCACGGAGAGAGAAGGAAGCCTTTGACTCAGAGCGATTGCTGACACTGAACCGTGCTCCCCAGAGGCTGGGTGAGTGGTGAGTGTGGGGAACACAGGGCATGGATGGCAGCAGATAGCAGGGTAGAGGGAGCTGAAGATGGTTCAGAGGTCGCGACTAGAGCTGGGCTCAAGGCTGGGGGACCTCCAATGAGAATCTCTGGCTAGGTAATCCCAAGGTTTGAAGGACCAAGGAAGGCTCATCCCAACTTGCTCTCTGCCTCCCCAGATTTTGCCTCTCTGCGGTGAATGAAGCTTCAGGGGCCTGTGTTTGTGGGTGTGCCCCTCCTCGGACCCATCCTGATTTGCATGTTCACTCACAATCAGACATCCGGTTGGTGTGAGGATGAGAGGAAGCTGTGGTGTCCACCCCACAAGGTCATATTGCTTGTCTGGGCGACCATCTACTCTGTCATAGGGTGAGTGTGTGGCCTTGGTATCTGCCAGGGTAAAAGCAAATCGCCCTGGGTATGAGCTTGTGCTGTACACTGGCCTCCAAATGGATGGTACCCCATTGCTTCCCTTCAAGTAGGGGTCCCCACAAGCAGGAATGCCCTACATGCCTAAGATCCTAACAAGTTCTCCAATCCCCTCACCCTCTTTAACCCTCCCAGACTTCTCCCCAAGACACCCAACTCCTCCCACCCAATTTGTCCCACCAACTCTCCCTTGACTCTCAAGGTTTCTTTTATTTTACATGGGTGATTGTGTCTGTGTCTGTCTGTCTGTCTGTCTGTGTGAATGTTTATGGACCCTGGAAGAAGGCATCAGGTCTTCTGGAGCTGCAAATACAGGAAGTTATGAACCACCTGGCGAGGGTGCTGGGAACCAAACTTGTGTCCTCTGGAAGGGCAGGAAGTAATCTTAACTGCTGAGCCGTCTCTCTGGCCCCTCCCTCGGCCCTCAAATGATGCTCAGGCTCAGGGTACTCCTTGACAGCCAAGAGACCTTATGCCAGAGGGCCTGGATCCTACAGAGCCCCCTCTCTCTGCAGCTATGCCTCCTACCTGGTGTGGAAGGACCTGGGAGGGGGCTTCCGGTGGCCCCTAGCACTGCCCCTTGGCCTCTACAGTTTCCAACTCACCCTCAGTTGGACCTTCTTGACGCTCTTCTTGACAGCCAACAACCCTGGGCTGGTAAGGCACGTGGCGCTCCGTGATGGGAGAAGGGGAACGTGAAACCACAGGGCCCCACATCAGAGTGGATATCAGGGACCAGCAAGTGACCTGTTTGTAATTCCTACAGTGTGTGCAGTGCCGGGGGGGGCATTTCTTGGGTCAGGGTCCTGTAGAAGGGCAGAGGGTTCTGGCTCTTGACACAGCGTGGCTACAGGCTCCCAACACTTCCGCCCAGGCCCTCCTAGACCTGTTGCTGCTCTATGGGCTGGTGGCAAGCATGGTGCTCATCTGGCAACCGATCAACAAGCTGGCCGCTCTGCTCCTGCTGCCCTACCTGGCCTGGCTCACCGTGACTATCGCCATCACCTACCGCCTGTGGAGGGACAGCCTGTGTCCGGCTCACCAGCCTTCGCCATCCGAGGAGAGCCATTGAGGCGCCAGGGTCCGGGAGAGGAGGGAGGGTGGCAAGTGGGCGGAGCAGTTGTGGAGCCGGGGGGGGGCGCCTGGTGTGGCCTGGCCACCCTCCTGGATCTGAGTTCAGAGAAACAGAAAAGAGGGGATGCTTTCGGACACATAATAAAATCCTGCTGTTGACTCTGAGGGTGTGGCGAAAGGCGGACAGGATGCAGGGCAGCCAGGGCTACAGAGTGGGAGCCCCTCCTGTAGAGCCGATGTGGGAACACATGCCATCTCCCCTCTCACACACCTCCCCCAGCCCAGCACAGGGGTTAGCGTTTAGCACTTACCTCAAAACAGAATCTTGGGCCAGCAGGTAAAGCCCTTGCCACCAAAACAAATAGAAACCTGATTTCTGTCTCCAGGGACCACACAGTGAAGGGAAAAAAACTAACTCCCAAAAGTTGTCCTTTGACCTCCATGTGAGCACTGTGACACTCATGCATATATACACACATGGAAATGCATGTGCATGTGTGTGCACGCATGCAAGCACACACACACACCAAATAGATGAACAATAAATAAAAACAAAGTCTTGCCTAGAGTGTTGGTGCACTCCTGTAACCCCAGCAGCATTCAGGAAATGAATTCGAAGTCATCCTGGCTACACAGCAAATTAAAAAATAAGATTTTGAAAGAGTACATAAAAGGAAAACTCAGTGAAGAGGACTACTGAGGAGCCGGCATGAGCTAGGTGGTAAGTGTCTGCCACCACCTGACAGCTGAGGTGGATCCCAAGCCCCACATGGCAGAAGGAGAGACCCAAATGCCACAGATTGTCCCCTGACTTACATACAGGTGCTCACTCGCGCTCTCTCTCTCTCTCTGTCTCTCTCTCTCTCATACACACACACACATGCATATACATACACATACACATAAACAAGCATGTAAAGAGGAGATAGTAACAATATGCATTTACAGATGTGTAGATAATATAACCGTACCACTTATTACGTATGTCGTGCTAAGACACGTGAGGTGCTCTCTGAAAAGCTAAGAGCTGATTTTTGTTTTCCTAGACTCTCTTGTTTTTAGTCATTGATGTCTGTGCAATACTATTATAAGGAGGAATTTGAAGCGGGTGAGCCCCAGGGTGCTGAGAGGTGAAGCCAGCAGGGACTTCTTCATCAACTTTTGCTCCTCCTTACTAGACCACCTCAGCAGCTTTTCCATCTTTCTCCTCCTTCCTCTTATTTTCTGCCTCTCTTTGAAAGCCCTCATGGTAGGAGGCAGTAGGTGGGGCTGTGTTCTTGACCCCTGTATGTGACAAGCTGGCGGGTTCAGATGTCCTGCGACAAGTGGTCTCCATGAGGCATGAATGGAAGTGAGATGGAATCACTGGGGAGTTGTTTATGGCTCCTCCCTCCCTCCTGTGCGTGTGTGCATGCGTGTGTGGTGCATGTATGTCTTTTGCATATGTGTGGGAGCACATGTAGAGGGTATATCTGTGTCCTCATGCCTGTGGAGGCCTGAGCTGGTGTGTTCTCACCTTGTTCGCTGAGGCAGTGTCTCTCAGTCACATCCCAGCTTGCCCCGGGAACCCCTTCTCTGCCTTCTAAGACAGCATTATAGTGGGCTCCCAAGTCCACCTGGTGTTTGGCTTTCTGGAAGTCCTCCCAGCTGTGCAGAAAGCATTTAACCACTGAGTTCTCTTCTTAGCCCCTGATTGTGGCTTTCTGAGACACAGTCTTGCTACGTAGCCTTGGCTCTCCTGAAACTCGCGTTCCCGATGCTTCCTCCTCCGGAATCCGAGGATTCCACCTTGCCAGCTCCAGAGCATCTAACACTAACCAGGCTCTCCAGGGATGAGACCTGGGCTTCGGTGTTAGTGGGATACCCATTCCGGGACTTCCCTAGGCCAGGGCTGAAGACCCTAGGCGTGAGCAGCAGGCTACTTAGGAGTACTAAGGAGCACCAATTACAGGCCTGACTGTCACTTTGAGGGTGGCTCCTGGCATCTGCACGTTGATCAGTCTCTTCACCATTTCCACCACTGAAGATCTAGGGCTCTGGACTTGGAGCACCTCTCAGAATCTAACTCCTGCTCTCAGGGGTTCTATGAGCTCCATTTGGAACCTGAAACAAAATGAGACCTGTGAGTAAGGAGTCAAACATCTGCCAAAGGAAAGGCCCCAGAAGCAGCAGCGTTTGAGAAGAGAGCACGCTGGCCCTTTCCAGAGCTCACCCACAGGCACAGGACCGGGCGGGCACCTTCCCCTCCTCCATCGAGGGAAGCTCCGCCCAGCATGGCAGGTCACTGTGGGCCTGCAGAGCAAACATGAGGTCCACCCGCCTTTGTCTCTGCAGAGCAGGGAACCTCAGGGGACAGAGAAGATACTCAAATCCCTTGGATGGACGGAATTAACCAGTAAATGAATGGACATATTGTCACACTTTGAAAAAGGAAAATCAAAATGTCACTGCCCACCCCACCCCCAGATCCCACCCTTGCCTTTGGATGGAATGAAAAAAAGAAAGGTTTACATAGTTCCAGAAACTTCTGATTCTAATCTGCAGCCAGATGATGAACCCCTGTAGGGCCTTGCTTCCCACACTGTGGCCGATGACCTGATGCCTGACGGCCAAAGACTCTAGCCCAGCTTCTGGCCCTGAGAGCCAGACCACCCCGTGAGTGAGGGTAGTAGAGCGCAGTGGTTAGTAGTCTGTCCCTGGAGGCAGACTCTCACGGTTCAACTGTGAAATGTGCCCCTGGCTCATCTGTAGAAGGAGCTGAAACCAAAGCACAGCTCCCGGAGCCAAGCAGACGGCTCTTCCGGTAAACTGCTTGCTGCGAAAGCTTGAAGACCTGAGTTCTTATCGCTGGCACCTGCAGAAAAGTCAAGCATGTGACCTCTTCACAGTCCTATGTAACCACAGTGCCAGGATAGAGGCAGCATGACCGAGGGTTGCTCAGTCACCCGGCTATGATTCAATGAAAGATCCTAGCAATAATAATAGTACAATAATAATAATAATAAATGTAGAGGCTGGGTGTGGTGGTGGACGCATCTGGTCCCAGCACCTCAGGAGGCAGAAGCAGGCACATCTCTGTGAGTTCAAGGCCAGCCTGTTCTACACAGTAAAAGCCCATCTCAAAAAAAAATGAATTAACTAATTAAAATAATCAGGTTTGACTGGAGAGTTGGCTCTGCAGTTAAGAGCACTGGCTGCTCTTGCAGACAATGTGGGTTCAGGTACCAGGACCCATGTGGCAGCTCACATATGCAATTCCAATCCAAAGGATCCCTCACCCTCTTCTGACCACTGGGACCAGGCATAAAAGCATTGCCCATGCATACACCACAGGCAAAACACTCACACGCTTAAACTTAAGGTACGAGAGCAGTTGAGGAAAACTCAAAGATCACCTTCTGGCCTCCACACACATGTACGCACGGCCTCAGCATATATACAAACAGCAAACCCCACAGCTCCTAACTCAAAGGGAATAAGGGTGCATCCAGGAATCAAATATGAGTGAGCTTGACCCAGGAACACATTCAGGGTCCCTGAGGGAACGGCTCTCTGAGGTTTGTATAGCGACAGAACGACACAGTCATAAACCCTTGCAAACACATTGGTGGGCACGGCCGGCAGGTGGTCAGTGCATGGGCATCTCTGCTGTAGGTCCCAGGTGCGGTCTGATGACATTCTCAGCTTCCGGCCTGGGGGCAGCAGTTAGTCCTTGAAGACATTCCAGAAGGATTTACCTCCGAACCACAGGAGCTGAGGTCAGGTGCAGGGGTGCACGGGCAATGGCGGTTACAGTGGCTAGCTGGAAATACCTTGGCTCTAGATCTGCGTCATCCCAACTTTCCCCAGGCAGGAGTCCTAATCAGCCAGTCTTCAGCACAGGGTGGCTTTTTTCCAGGGAAGGTCCACTGACAATGTCACAGTCCTCATTGAGTTAGAGGTCAGAGGTCAGAGGTGATGAGAGCATGGAGTCGGGTAATTAATGGATTAATCTGTTGATGGAGTCACTACGAGAGCAGGGGACAGTTAGTCAGAAGGAGTAGGTCACTGCGACCTTCTCTCTCTCTCTCTCTCTCTCTCTCTCTCTCTCTCTTTCTCTCTCTCTCTCTCTCATTGCTTTCTGTTATGAGGTGAGCAGCCTTCACCGCCATACGCTTCTGCCACGGTGTCCCGCCTCGCCATGGGTAATGGAACTGTAGTAATGGAACCAGCCAGCCACACACTGAAGCCTCGACAGCAGAGAGCCCAAAGAAGCCTGCTCCCCTTTGAAGTTGACTTCACCGGTGTCTCCTGGGTGATGGAAGCTAATTAATACACAGAATCCAACTCTGTCATTCATTAACTTGGTCAGCATGACTTCCCAGCAGCGTCTGTCAAGCCGGGACCTCGCAGCTTTGTGGAGACGGCGAATGGAATGACGGGAGGATGGGTGAGCGGCGCAGAGAAGATTCCATTGACGTCACTGGTTCTAGCACAGGACTCGGGAAGCCCCCATTCAATAAGCAGCCAGGGTTTTTAGATGCAGCGCCAGGCTCCTCCGCGCCACCGGCTGTACTTCCCAAATGTCCTAACAGCCAGGAGTCACCTCCTCAGATCGGTGAGCTAGCCTGACTATTGCCACAGGGCCAAAATGACTGGCTTTTGACGTCCTACATTAGTGTGGATTTGTCTGCATGTCAAGACAGCTATTAAAACCCGAACAGGGGCTAACTCAGGAGTGGGGATCTGCCTGGCATGAGTGAGGCCTGGAAAATCCCATTCGCAGCACTGAAAAGCTCACAACTTTGCTTTATTTATTGTTCTGTTTATACATGTAACTTATTAAAGAGCTGTTTATTTGAATTTAAGCACATGTGTGTGTTCATGTATACCGCTTGCATGCAGGGGGCCATGGAAGCCAGAGAGCACTGGATTCCCCGGGAGTGGAGTTACGTGGTTGTGAGACACCTGATGTGGGCGCTGGGGACAGAACTCGGGTCCTCTGCAAGAGCAGTGTGCGCTTGCGATGGCTGAGGCATCTTCCAGTCTCTCGTCC